CTAAGAACGTAACAAATAATTGGATAAATGTAGTAAATACGTTTCACAGAAGTTGGAAAAAAGAAGAAGAAGAAAAAAAAAAAAAATTACTAGAACTAATGTCGATAGAATTCCAAGTATCCTCGATAATGAATGAATCTCTCTGTTTTATATATTTTTTCTCGCAATGCATATAATGAAATCTACGACATATTATGCTTTCACTGATAAACAATAAGTATTGGAAAAACGATAGATATTATCATTTACTTTTCAACAACACCACTTCTTCTTCCCTTTTGTTCGAACGAATTAAAAAATTCTAAATCGTCAATTAATTCGAGAAACGCCTTCGGTGTAAAACAATTAAATCAAAGAGATATTTTTTATAAAAATACGATATCGAATGGGGGGGGGAAAAAAAATATAACTATCTAAAAAAACCTATTTACCAGTTTCAACCAGGTTCAATAATCAAGATACCAAGTAGTAAAAAAGTGTTAGGAGATAATTTTGTATCGAAATATTTTATAGAGATAATACAACGTACAGTGATAAATATAAAAAATAAAAATACAAAGTTATTAATTCATCGAATGCATATAAATATATAATCGAAGTTGCGAGCAAATTTCAATTGTTGTAAGAACAATTATTTCGAGGATCTCTAAAAGGATCGATTCCTTTTTGTACGAATGGGAAAAAAAAAAAAAAACAACTCACCGATACCCTCTTGCCAAAACCAAGGAAAGACAACTTTCTCCTGGTGTTCTCCATCGTTCACCGGTCGCGGTAGCTGCTGCAGCAGCTATCACCTTAAGGTGTCGTCTTTTTCCTGGGTGCTCGGCCGATCCTGAGTCGGGACGGCGATGTCCACATGTGGAGGAGTCGCTGAGATGGCAGCTCCGTTCTGCTAGCTGTGCAAAAAGAAAAAAAAAAAAAAAAAAAAAGAAAAAATACGTTTCATTCAATTTTTCGTTTCCAAGGAATAGAATAGAATCGATCGAATGTAAGGTTCTGGTTACCGGTTGCTTTTTACTCGAGCGGAAGAAGTAAAAAGCCTGATCAGATCGATCAGAAATCGGGATAATTGAGATTTTTAATGATTAATTGTCTAATCTAGAGAAAATAGATTTTTAAAATAAGTAATGTAGTAGTGTTTGGTTAATTTAGTTGTAGTGTTTAATTAATACGTACTTCAAAAACTCGAATTCCAGTTTTAGAAATTAGTATGGATAATTCTGCAACAGTTAAGAGAAGAGAAAGTGCGAAAGTTAATGCTATGCTATTTTATTTATTATAATTCAAATATGAGTATGATTTAATCCATTTTAATCCATTTTTTTAATATTATTTTATATAACAGTTATAAGCTCAAATATCACGTACAATATTTTCATAATCATCCGAATAAATGTTAATGTTTATTTGTAAAAATATTTTTCAATAATATTTTAAAAAAATTTAAATAATTTTCGGAAGAAATTAATTACTACACTGGTTACTACTTTCGAACTAATACAATTATCATTAATTCAATTAATATAAATTAATAATTCACGTTTCTTTTTTTTTTTTTTTTTCTAAGTACAATTAACGAATATCGATAGAGGAATTGTTAAACAGCGATAGAAACACACAAAATAGCAAGACAATTAAGAAAATAATTATTAAGGAAAGAAATTGCAGACTTCTAGTTTATAACGCTTTATCAGATGGAAAAGAAGATGAAAATCGATTAAGAATAGATGGAGCAACTGATATTGCAAAGAACAAATGGAAACGTTTAAATTGGATTTCCGATTGGCAATGGAATTTCTAAAGGATGGAATTAACTTTTTCCTGGAATTTAGAATCACACATCAAAGGAAATTATTTAAATTCAAATCCAAAATGCGGAAATCCTTGTTTTTTTCTTTTCTTCTTTTTTTTTTCTTCTCTCTCTAAAATTAAAAATTAAAATATCGACAACAGCGATAGTATATAATAACAATAATAATAATAATAATAATAATAATAATAGCAATTATTATTTATTTCGTTTTATATCAAAATATCGTAACAGATTGGCGAGCGAAATCAAAAATCTAAAATAGAAAAAACGTAGTTAAATTGTTATTAATTGCATAAATAAAACGTTACCAAATAATTTATCAATGCAAACTCGTTTGCAGACCTCGAAAGTTTCGAATCGCGAAAATAGGCAAAAATTTTCAAGCGTTCTCTTATCCACGAAAAGAAAATTTTAAAGGGAAAAGAGAAGCGAGAGAGGAATACACACCTTGAAGAAACGAAACAATACGCCCTATAGCGCCACGAGGGCGACGTGGTCGGCAATGAAGACAGCGCTGAGGATAGCGATCAGAATCACGAGCGAGCTTGAGAACACTTGTTCGCGAACTAAGGATCGTGGAGATCACTCGACAACTGAACCACTATCAGGGAAGGAGAGGTGACTCGACAACTGTGACCGACCGACTGACTTCGTTCGAGACTACTACCGCTACTACCAACAACGCAACATCCATCCAAAGAGACCGATTCTAATAGTATTACTTGATAAATAACGTCCGGACGATGTGGCGTAACGTTTGCGACGAATAAACAACGAAATAAAACGATATACGTATTTCCCGATCGTTCGTGTGACGAATCGTTGGAATATTGGCCGGAAGAAATCGGATAATTTTTATGTACACTTTTTCACGTAAATCTGTCAATAAGTTATTGCTTCTTCTCAAAAAAAAAAAAAACACAACAAACATGAGTTAATGGAAAAAAAACTTTAACACTGCCCTCTTTTAAATAAAACATTTCTAACATTTCGGAGAAATTTCAAGTATATATATATATATATATATATAACATCTTATATATATATATATATAATAAACATCTCTCTTGTA